GGAAAAAGTTTAAGAAAACCTGGAGAGAGCAATTTTTCATCTTTCTATACATTCAGGGACAACCAGAATGCAAAGCAGTAAATTGTGCTCAGGCTAAATTTGGGTGGGTAGGAAGGGGGAGCGTTTTAAGAGTATATTCTCATTTCTACACTTAGTCTTTGGTTAGTGAGTGAGTGAACATAAATTCCACTACAGCACTTTATCTAGTTGGACTCAAACCTTCAGACAAGACTATGTTTGAAATTCCACCTTGGTTAATCAAGAGAGACCCCAATCACTTGCTCTGGAGTCAGCAATCAAATCAATACTACCATCCAATCATTATTTCTGGAAAGGGTCAGTCAATTGATTTCCCTAAAGTTCAATGAATCATTTAGTATTCACTTAATAAATGTTTTTCATGTATTTATTTATCCTGACTTGACTCTAAGGCAAACAACACTTATTTAGTATGAGTGGGTTAAAAATGGTAATATAGTTCATTCCTCATGTTAAAAGTTCATAAGAGATGCATTTATTTTAACCATGGAAAAACCCAGTCAAAATCCAGTCAAAAAAATCCAGACAAAACTCTCTTTTGTCACTCTATCCTGATTCTGCAGGAGAGTGTTTTGTAGGCCTCTGTTCAACCCTTCAGATTAAGAATATTAGGCTCATATATAAATCAGTAGTCTATAGGTTAATTAACCATTTATCGGATTATCAATAGTTGTATTTTAATTACAACTTTTTTTCTTTGTGGCTAAACTCCTTAGAAATGTCTTCTATAATAGGTATCTCCACTTTCTCTTCTCTCATTCTCTTCTTAATCATTTAAAATTCAATTTCCAACGTCATCATTTCATTAAAATATCTCTTTCCAAAGAAAGCGCCAAATCCAATGACCTTTTTTCAGCCCTCATTCTCTTCAACCTCTCTAAAGCCTCTGACACTGTTGATCACACTCCCTTCCTAGATACTCTCTTTTTCTAGGTTTTCAGAACACCACTCTTTCCTGATCCTCCTCCTACCTATCTGACTGTTCCTTCACAGTCTCTTTTGTTGGCTCCTGAGAGAAATGATTATTAATAAACAATGATTTGGGGGAGATTTAGAGTTTCCTCTTTTTCTATAGTCCTCACTTCAGTCTCTAGAAGTACATTACTCATAATGAGATTGAATTAACTCTCTTGGTCAGACCCCATCCAATTTTACAAGGTATTTAAGCCCATTGTGTTCTACTCAGGTTTGGGTAAGGATAAATTCTTTGATTAGATTGTCCAAGGCTGTGGATAATTTAGAAGTAAATGAAATAATCAAAGTTCATTGGAATAGGTCCAGCCCCTCTTAGTAATATTCATTCTCTCTCATTACTTGTTAACCAATTAGAGTTGATTGCCACCCTCTGGAACACCCACTTTTCCAAGGCCATTTAAGTCTTGAGCCCAACCGCCATGAGGGTCTTTGGCATTCAAGAGTGCCACTGACTCCCTTTTATTAATAACATGCTAGCCTTATTAATAAAATGATTCATTACTCAAGAATTATGTCTCTAGAACTTTTTTAAACTAACATACCTCAACCATTGTTTACGCTTTTATACAGATGTCTCACAGGTTTGTATCCTAGGTCCTATTCTTTTCTCCTTCTATACTACTTAACTTATTAACTCCCATAAATTTAATTACCATCTCTATGCTAATGATTCTCAAATCTACCTCTTCTGACCCAAACTCTCAGCAGACCTCCACTCTCACATCTACCTGTGCCTTTCAAATATCTCAAACTGGATATGCAGCAGACATTTTCGAATCTTCATGTCCAAGATCAAACTCAGTCTTTCCTCCAAACTTTCCCCTCCCCTTCCTACTTTCCCTATTACTGTTGAAGGTATACCAGAGGTGGGGAACGGAAGCCACATGTGGCTTCAAGGTGGCAGATTCCCTACTCCCGGCATAACTATCCTCCAGTTCCTCAGGTTTACACTAGGTGTCATTCTGGATTCCTCACTATCTCCTTACCACCTCCACCACCTTCAATATTCCATCTGTTGCCAAGGCCTGTCAATTTCACCTTGTAACATTAAAAAAAACCTTTCATTACTTTTAAATTTAAATGGCCAAATCATTAACAGGGTGATATACATGGTATAGTGCAGAGGTATCAAAAAATCTCCAGCAGCAAGTGACCCTAGTGTGGGAACCAGATTAAAATATACTTGGGAAATGTTTAACTAAATAAAAACAAAATACAGCATAAATCATGTTAATGTGGTTTTCTAAGTCAATATGAGTTCAGCAAGAATTCATTTCTACTTGAATTTGATACCACAGGTGTAGTGAAATGAGCACTGGCCTTATAGTTAGAAAGATCTAGGTTTAAAAAGCAGTTACCAAGAGTATAACCCTGAGAAAGTCATTTAACATCTCTGTACCTCAGCTTTTTTAAAAAAAAAATTTGGTTTATGAAATAAAACAGGCATTTCCATAACAGTAGAGTAAAAAAAGATGATTGCACATGAAGTTGCAAATCTATTATGTACAACTTGCCATTTTAAATACATAATAAAGTTATGTAACTTTTCTTCAATACACCTACTTTTCTTCTCTGAAAATTCCTCAACTCTAGTTCAGGCCCTCATCACCCTATGCCTATCCTGTTGTATTAGCCTGCTGATGGGACTGTCTACCTTGTCTCTCCACTCCAGTTCATCCTCCATTCAGCCAACAAAGTGATTTTCCAAAATCTGACCACGTCACCTTCCTTCCATCCTCATTCAAACTTGGGTGGCTCCCTATGACCTCAAGTATCAAACAGAAAATGTTGTTTGTCATTCAAAGCCCTTCACAACTTACTTCTCTCTTACTTTTCCAGTCTTTTCCCACATACTCTTCAATCCAGTGACATTGACCTTTACTGTTTCAGGAACAAGATATTCCATCTCTCATCTTTCAACTCTGGTCATTTTCTTGGCCTCTAGGTCTGCACTATTCTTCCTCCTCATTTGAGCCTACTGGCTCCCTTGGTTTTCTGTAAATCACACCTAAAATCTCATCTTCTACAGGAAGTTGTTCCCAATCTCTCTTTGTTCTAGTGCCTTCTCTCTGATAATTACTTCCTATTTATCCTGTATGTATAGCTTGTCTGTATATATTTACCTGTTGCCACTTCCATTAGACTGTGAGCTACTTGAGGGCAGGGGCTGGTTTTTTTTCTTCCTTTTTTTTTTTTTTTAGTATTCCCAGTGTTGAGCACATCCTTGGCACTTTCTGCAGCATGACATGCTTTTTAGAGTTTTTTTTTCTCATGCCGTAAACATTTGATAAGTGCAAACTAATTTTAATAAGTAATAAATATTTAGGGGGTAAATCTGTTCCCCAATAAGTTGATGTAATTGTATTCCAAAATCCAGCAGAAATTATTATTTTATAAAAGTTTTATTTGTTTCCTTGCTTATAAGATTTTAACTTGGTCATCTGCAGTATGTCCTATTATCAAGCACATGTGCAGAATATTCTCAGAGTGCCGTAATTTGCACATAGTAGGCCCTTCACAAATGTTTGCTGAACAGCACAGCACCAGGACACAACGTTTTATTTTCTGGAAGAATTCTTGGCCTCTTGGATTCAGTGTTACAGAAAGATAACTCCTAAAATTGTACACTTAATCTCCCTCACTGTGAGTCATCACGGACTAGCTTTTATCCGAGTAGCCAAAACAGCTGAAAGACTCCATTTTCTTTTTAGCCCCGGCTGGGCCCAACTATATGACCCGTTCACCCAGAGAGCTTTTCAAATTGGAAACCTTGGCCCCAGTTGCTCACAGTAAAGAGCTAAGCCCTCTCTCCTTAAAGTGACAGTGGCCAATCCAGTCTCAACAGGATCACCCAAGTATTTCTCATCCACTGCTTTGTACTTAAACACCCCCACGACTTCAAGTCTGCTCAAGAAAGGAGCCTGTCTAGTCTGTACGCTTTATTTTAAAGTCCAGTTCTGCACCGAGGCAGAGAAATGTGCCAAGCCAAGAGAAAGGCTAGCGTGGGTTAGGGCTGGCTGGGGATCTCCAGCATCGGGAAGGCTGCGGGGCTGAGCGGAGTCGTCACGGTTGCCTCTCACAGCCCCTCTCGTCAAGCTGCGGCTGCTGCCAGGCTTGGCGCAAGAGCGTCTCTAAGTAGAGGCAGGGGGAGGGAGGGGGTTGCGGCCGAGAAGACTGGCGTCTGGCCGCTGGATGGCTGAGCAGGATTAAGTTTCATGGTAGTGTGTGTGTGTGTGTGTGTGTGTGTTTATCCTGTAGCTCTTCTCTGGGCCGTTACTTCAGAAGAGAGCAGTTGGCCAGGCGAGAAAACCAGAGCCACAAACGACCCTCTCTCCACACTTCCCGCCCCCCGCCTCCTTTCCTCTGTTACTCCCCGCCCGAGGCAAATCCCACCTAGCTGGGGAGGGCTGCAGGAACGAGCTGGGTAAGGAGTGGGAGCTTGGAAACTGTCCTAAGGGGCGGTGAAGGCGCGGTGGGTTGAGGGGGGAGTGAGGAATGCTCCCCCTTTCCCCGCCCAGCCCTCGCTCAATTCCCCGGGAATGTTCCATCGGGATCTCGTGATTCCGCGTGTTTTGTTTGCGCGCGAGTGCGGGGTGGGAATACGGGGTGCGTTGGAACCAGCCCTAAAAAGCTCCGGTGGCATTCTTTACCAAAACAAACAAACAAACAAAAAAAAAACCCCGTTTCTCTTTTGTCTCTTTAAAAGCACAAGGTTTGGAAGTTTCCTTTGGCCGATTCCATCCCTTCTCCTCACAGTCTTCCCCGTCTCTTAAAGATGTTGCAAAAGTTCTTTTTTTAATTTTTCCTCCCTAGATGGAGGGTTGTTAGTAACGTTGCTTTTTTTTTTTGCGGGGGGGAGGAGGGAATAATACCAGGCCTGGTCATGCAAAAGGGGAAATGAAGAGGGATGCGTGTGTGTGTTTGTGTGCGCCGGGCTGTTTTGAGGGGGAGGGGAGAAGGGGGGGGTTGGGAGCCTGTTGCTTTCTCTATGTTGCCGTATCCGCTGTGATTTCAGCGCCTGGGCTTCAGTAAGGACTACTTCTGAGATGTTACTGGTGGCTGGATTGCAAGACAGAGTCTATTGGGGGCTCTGAGAGGACCAAAGGGTAGTAGGGATGCTGCTCTGTAGACGTGTGCTTGGCTCTTCGGAATCAGTGTAGCAGCCGCGGCGAAGGAGGAGGAGGCGGCGGCGAGCGACCGCGACTGTAGCAGCTGTGGTTGGGGACCCGGATCAGAGCTGCACAATTGGTAGGAGGCAGAGTAGTGTACACACCAGTGGCGTTTCTGCCCTTGCATCTGCGGCTAGTTTCAGTTGCGAGCATTTAGCTGTCGCCTCCTTTTCTTTTCCTCCGTTCAGGCCCCCTTTCTCTCGCCTTCTCCGCCTAGATTTGACTCCTTTGTTTGTGGTCTCTGCATTAGAAAGCGGATCTTTGAATGCAACGTTATTTTGGAAATGTCTCCTCCGTGTGTGTGTGTGTGTGTGTGTTTCTGTGTGTTTGGGCGGGGATGGAGGATGAGGATGGAGTAGAGAGATATTTTAGCTTATTATCTTTGCTGCAGCACAAAGGCTGGACTACAACAGCCCACATGAAATTTCAAGTTTGGACTGCTGGAGAAGGAGGAGGAGGAGGAGCTGGTAGTGGTGTGGGGGTGGGGGATGGGAACGTGTTACATGCGCAGTTGGGTGATAGCAGAAAAGTACAGGATACAGATATGTACTGACACAGTAGGGTGAAACATCTTATCTTTCTACCCATCCCCTCCAGGACTGCTGACTACTGTATCCAGTAAAAGCAGCTGGAAAGTGGAATGTGCTTCTGGGGTGGTGATTTTTTTTTTTCCTGCTCATGAGATAATGGAGACACAAATTCACCAGCTATGAAGGAAACTCTTCTCTCTTTTTCTGAGGGAGAGACATAAGAAACCTGAAAAGCAGTCAGCCCTGCCTATAAATCATGTTTGGTGGGCAACCCTATTATTAACTGTTCCCTTTGTGTCTCCTCATAACCATTTGGTTTCTGTAGTTCTTTGACATGGTCTTTCTTACCTAATTTTGTAGAGCAATGAAAGCATAATTAGTATAATGGAAAGAAAATTCACTTTGGACTCAGAATTGGATTTGAATCCAGATTCTAATGCTATTTTCTGGCTTCTTTACTATGGGCCAGTCGCTGAAACTGACATTTTCCTGACTTGTAAAGTGATAAGAGTTGCACTACCCTATAGTGAAGAAAGTGCTTTGTAAAACTTGAAGTGATACATAAATGGCCATGATGATGATGATGATGAGAATTTTGGCAGCAACTAATGGAGGCAATATTTGTTAGGGTTTTAAAGGTTACACAGCTATTAGTGTTAATTAAGTTGGCCCATATTTAGTTACAAACTTGGTAACATTTAGGATGGCAACTGCACTTTGGAATAAATAAGAGCTCTATAAACCTTAAAGTACTGTATAAATGAGTATTGTTATTATTATTTTTATTGCACCAACATTTGAATGTCTTAAATTGAGCTAAGACTATTCTAGTATAAAACATTGTGAGTGGTAACACTGGTATACCCATGTCTCTGGGTATAGCTTGGCCCATGTATTGAACCTATTTACATACAGACCAATTTATTTAGAATAGTCAGATGGATCCTACCCAAGTAGAGAGGAACAATTAAGGCCATTTAAAGTTTTGCAAACCAGATGTCTCACAAATACCCAATAATGGATTCATTTTTTAATTTAGTTAAGGTGGTCATAAGGCTCCTTGGAGCCAGCCTCAAGCAAAATGATGAAGTAGGTAACCTGTTTTTGATAAAAAAGCTTCCCTCTCCTCAGTGTTAGGAAAAATTAATGAAGAAAAGCTTTATGTACGGTCTTATCCACATTCAAATTTTACATATGGGTGTATAGTATGGCAAATACACACCAGTATTTTTCTTTTCGACCTTTTCTCTTTCCTCCCCCCTCCCCCCCACTTCTCTTGAGTTACTTTGCTAGAACTGGATTTGGAAAGACTAGGGTTTCAATACTACTTCTACTGTGTATTATCTGTATGACCAAGGGCAAGTCATCCTCTATATGCCTCAGAATCTTCATCTGTAAAGTGAGGATAATAACATCTGTAATACTTGTGTTCCAGGGTTATTGTGTGGATCAGATGGCAGAATGTAGGTAAAGTACTTTACAAACCTTTGAGCATTATATAGTTAGCTATTATTATTACTATTACTAATAATCTCCCTCTTCTGCTTGCCTTTAGACCCTCTATTATTACCCTTATAATATGGAAGGCCACATCTTTGGATAGTTACGAGAGGGGGGAAGGGTAGTTGCTTATTCATTGAAGAGAGTTGTTTTCACTGTCTTTCAAATTTCATTATATACAGGGTCCTACTTTTTCTACGTAATGCCAGCTCTGTGTCTCATAATCACCAAAAGGTGATGCAGTCTTGCCTCAGAGAAATTGTGTACATCATCCTTACAGCCTAGGGGCATTGCAAGAGACCCATAGGAGTTCCTTGGAGTGCAGTTCTGGACACAGAAAGTCCTGGGTGATTAGTTTTATCCTACAGCTGCCATAGGGGATGTTTTCCAAAATGGACTGGCTCCAGAGACCTAAAGAGAGAGGAAAGAGGTGGTAGAAGTTAGGGGAGAGGGAATTGTTGGATTCTTTGGAGAAATAGTTAAGGAGTTTAGTTTGTATTTCAAAATTACCCCATCCCACTGAGGATCCGAAAGAAATCCCCATGATATAGTAGTAAGAATGCTAAATTTGGAAGCTTGACTAGGAGACCTCCAGGGTCCCTTCCAGCTCCAAATCCAGGATCCTACAATCCTGTTTAAATAAGCTTCCCTGTAGTAACTGTGGGTCACCCGAGTTCTCTTCCCTATCCTGTTGGTTTCTGTGAGTTCATAATATAGATTCTTCAGATGGTGGCACCATTAATACATTTCAGTCTGAGAACCATTTACTGAGAGCCTGCTAGGTGCAAAGGGACCCATGAGACATAAGACTCTGGGATAACCAGTTGTATGTTTTCCATCTGAGTTTGTTCTAGGACATTATTATTTGTATCTCAGCATTCTGCATTACTGACCCAACAAAACTATGCTGATATCCTGATGGTCTTGGAGAATTTAGAGCTGAAAGAGTCATTGGAAGTTGTCTAGTCCAGCTCAGATAAGGAATCTAAAGACCAAAGTGGTAGAGTGACAAGTGTGAAGTCAAGAAGAAAATAAGTAGCAGAGTTGGTGTTTGAACCTATGACATGAGACTCCAAATTTAGTCTGTTTTCCACACTCCTACTATGCCTGATGTCCTACTATATTTAAAAACGATTTCAAAATGGACATTTCTGTGCATTTTTGGTTGGATTTTTACCGATTTCTACATATTGATTGCATCCATAAATGGGTCTTACATAAAATGTGGTGTAGTTAAGTGGACTTTGGTTAATTCAGATTCCCAACTGTGCTTTTTTGAGAATGAGCTGTAAAGTAGATGTGGCCATTGTTTTTGTTTGAGCACCTCTTCCACACCTTATATGTGATGTCACTTGGCCTGTTGATTCACTTTATTTATCTCTCCCCAAACTCCCCTTTTGTGCTGGCTTTTCTGCTTCTCTTATTGGATTGTAAGAGAGATTATAGGGTTATTTCCTATACTCCTGCTCCTCCAAATAGGAAATTACTCTTAGGTTTTTTTAAAAGGGTTTATTACAAATTAGTATAGGGAGTTAGGCTATCCCACAGAATATGAAAACAAATAATAAGGGAATATTACAAAGTAATATAGTTATTTTCAGCCAGTCTCCATCTTCTGTGCCCATTTGCTTGCTCTTATTTCCTTTCCTTTCCTTTTTTCCTTTTTTTTTCCTTCTAGTTAAAGACTATTCTGGATCTTCACAGATTCACAGAATTTTCTAATTGGAAGTGACCTCAGCAGTCATCTAGTCCAAAGTATACATTAAAAGAATTCCCACTATAACATCCAAGATGAAGGGTCAGCTAGCTTCTGCTTAAATACTTCCAAGCAGCAGGAACCCACTACCACTCAGGGCAGTCCATTACCCTTTTGGACAGCTCTAATCATTAGGAAGTTTTTCCTGATTTCAAGCCTAAATTTGCCTCTTTGAAATTTTCACCCTTTTTTTTTGGTTCTATCCTTCTGGGATCAAACAGAAAGGTCTAATTCCTCTTCCATATAACAGCCCTTCAATTACTTAAAAATCCCTAACAACATTCTCTCACTCCCCCCTCCCCACACCTACCTAAGACTTCTTTTCTCTGACCTAAAGATTTTCATTTTCTTCAACCAATTCTCACATGACATGATATGACAGGTACTCAGAGCCCTTTACCATCCTGGTTGCCTCTTCTGGATACTCCAGCTAATCAATGCCATTTACAGTTCCTAGAACCGAACACACTTAAGGTGAGATCTGATGATGGCAGAATACTTTGGGACTGTCTACTCCCAGAAACAATGACTCTTTTAATGCAGTTCAAGGACACATTAACTTTTCTGGGGCCACATCACACAGCTGATTTCAGGCTGAGCTTGCAGTTCATCTAAAATTCCAGATCTTTTTCAGAATAACTGTTGTCTAACCATTACTCCACCATCTTGTACACCTGGTTTTTTTGGTACTCAGGTGTAAAACCTGACATTTATTTCTATAACCTGTTAATATCTCTTTAGATTCTGTCATCCATTGTTTTAGCTATCCTTCTAGCATGGTATCATCTACACTTTTGATGAGAATGCTTTCTAGAGCTTTATCTAAGTCATTGATATAAGTGTTAACTAGCTCATGGGGGAAAGCACAGATTCCTGGGATACTCCACTAGACACTTCTTGCTATAATGACCTTGAACTATTTAACAGCTACTCTTTGAGTTCTCTCTCAATCTAATTATATTTTCTGTTTCTTCCACTTCACCATCTTTCCTACAGGTATAGTGTGAGATATTTTATCAAAACCTTTGCTAAAATATAGATACACTATATCCATAGCATTTCCCTCATTTATTGGTTGAGTGATTATGTCAGAAAAAGGAAATGAGGTAGTTTGGCCTCACCTTTTATTTGTTTTCATATATATCGTATGCTTATATATTTTATATGAAACTTTTGAACTTGACAAATATGAGCATTTCATATAAAAAAGAACAAAAAGAAGATTGCATGCAAAATTGTGAATTCATTCTGTACAGCTTGATGTTTTTACAAAGTATATAATAAATTCAAAAT